TCAGAACCCCTATCTCCTCCTTTCTCTGGAGACCCTTGAGGATATCCACTCCTCCTTAGGATTTACTTCAGCTGGCTTGGAAGCATAGGCCCTCTTTCCCCATTTTTCTTCATTGTGCTATAATTATAATACAATAATGAATACACACGTGTGTGTTTCAAAGGAATCCATATCACGTGTCTTTAACAGAGCACAGATGTGAATCCTGGCAACTCTCATTGTTCATATTCTCCCATTGTTGTTTGTTGTTTCTTACATTATTTCTGATCTGGTAAACATCAGAGAGGAAGGACTTGTCTGTCATAGTTCTTGGCCACCACAAACTTCCATGGGGCCATGGTATTAATCCACTGAGCGAACTATTCTGCATGCAGTTGGTGATTACATCAACTTATGAGAGAGTAAGTGAACAATAAGGAGCACTGCTGCTTCTCATCTCTATTTCACTATACAGCCCCGACTTGGCCATGCCTGGCAAGGCTGGCATACAACCAGTGCTGCTCTTCAGCTCAGATTTTCAGTAAGATAGTTCCATAAACACAATGACATCATGTCATGACATCATTACTTTCCTGTAGGTTTGAATCAGCTTGCTTGCTTTTACAGGAAATCATACATATTCACTGCTCCTCCAACTTAATTACACTGGGGAAGTGCCACACACATTACTTTCAACATTTAGCTCTCAAGCGCATGAACAACATTCCCATAATCCATTAGGTACCCACCCAGAACAAACTTTGTCATCATACAAGCAAAGGCAGCTAAATAAACAGAAAGGTCAGATTTAGAGTAGAAAAAGCTTGAAAAATTCACAGTATTACTTCTGGGAGAAGGGCAAAACAAAAATTACAGTATCTTGTTCTATGGGGCCTTCTGGTCTGATTGAAAACTGTAGTAATACAATACTGGTGCGAAGAGACCAAAGATATAATGTCTCCACATCCTGCCTCCCCAGATCCTTCCTAATATTATCCATGATGTCATTATGCCCTGGACTATTCATTTTAGCGTTGACTGGAAAGGTTTGCAGGAGAAAGAATACTACTGGAAACTGGAGGTGTATTGTATGAGATGGATAATATGAACTAATGGACAAAACTAAACATGGCAGAAGGAAATCAAAAGAGACATTCTGCATTGTTTATGTACACAAAATCACAGACCTGATATCAGCATCCTTCCTGAGGACCTCAGTGAAACAAAAGAGTAGAAAGTATTTATGGGATAGATCAGGTTTTATCTGATTTCCTCCCTTTAGATCAGTTTATATCCAACTCTGTTCTACTACTCCATCAGCAGTAAATACAGAAAATATTCATATATTTACATGAAGTATTGAAAATCTCATTATTTGTTGGGCAGAGGGTAAAGGGGAAAGTGTCATAGTTTACAGCCATGTGTTTTCAAATAAAGGCTAATGTATGCATACCAGCACTCACTTTTACACACCAGTGGCAAAATACTGATTAACTGCAAAGTGATCTTTGCAGTGACACTACACACAGAGGAGAGCCCTTAAAATGAGGAGCTAAAATGGTACACTTTGGGCCACCAGTGTTGTAAATTGAAATAACTTCATGAGTCTTGCTTCACTCCTACCAAAGATAGCTTTGCAGAGTTCCTGCTCTACTCTTAACAAGCATCTTCCTACACTAAGTTCTAGACGCATATGCAAACCTTGCCATCTCAAGGCTTTTGTGTGACAACATCCGGGAATACATCTATAGGATTTTAATTCAAAGGGTTGCGTTATGCATATGAACTAACGACCAGTGTCTGTTCACTGACTGAGCTAGCTGTGGTGCTACAGTCCCATCCCAAAAGCTGCAGACATCATCTATACCAGCCCTGTCAACAGTTCATGCACATTTTAAAAGCATCAAAGTGGTTTTCCCCATTTTTCCAAGAAAAAAAGAGCCCTTACAATGTATAAACCAACACATAGAAGACATAGACATCATTTCTTTGCATGATTTCAGTAAAAACATGCTTTTCTTATTAAACTCTGGTGCTATACTTTGATTATAAGCATGTTCTTTGCCAGGAAATCTATGACAAAGTATGTGTAAATACTCATCTCAGGGGTCTGCCTTTGTGGTGGCTGTGGTCACTCCCAGAGCTTCTCACCGCATACGTGTGTGAATTGCTTCATAGTGGCATGTATAATACATTCTCCCTTCTTCCTGCTGCCCTATCCATCTGGGTGCTTGCCAGGTATGCTGGCTGGCCACCTTCTTAACAACAGAAATGGGACTCAGGTCCCAAGAAGGTTCTGGTGGAAGCTGGCAGTATCTCCTTTGGCTGCAGTGGAGTTCAGCCCACTTCCACCACTTCATCAAGGGCTTCCTATCTCCATTATTGGGTGGTTGTGGACTCTGGTTGCCTTAGTCCTGTGGACTATTGAGAGCTTTGATTCCACCTAACTGCAGCACAGACTAAGGGCACTCTGTTGTAACTAGATAAACCTGTCATAAAATGCAGCTGAGCGTATGTGCTGCTCTCTCTCATTAGTTCCTTCATAAGGCAGGTTCACGTAGGTGGAAATTCGGTGGGGTTTCAGTGGCCAAAGCGGGCTCCTGGCAAACTGCACATTCAGAGTCTGGATCCGTGTTTCACCCCAAGCCCCTGGCACTATGACCAACCCAAGAGGCTTGTGACTCCAACGCGCTCTGTCACCAGCTGGTCACCCCTCCATGGGATGAGGCCAGGTCTTCCCAAGAAAGCTGAGCTCATGTTTCCAAGAAACGGAGTGAAAGGGAGAGATTTGAGCAGAGCATTGTCATTCCGGTGGTGTCTTCCAGGCCAGCAGTAAACTTGGGTTGTTTATTGGATCCCAAACTTTCTTTGCATGTACACAGGAAAACAGATGCTTCCCACTCCCTTGCCCCATGCTCGAGCCAGGCTCCCTCAGCAAAACCCACAGGTAGGGTACACAAACAGAGCAGCAGAGGCATCGCTTCCTGCCTCTGGCTGCTTTGAGCTGGTGATACAACATTATCTATCCTGCACACTTCTTTGGCCTCCTTGCCAGGGTACCACGCCAGCTCACAGCATGCAGTTTGCTTTTCCTGAGCAGTAGCTGCTGCCTCAGCTCACAAACAGGGAACAGAGGCCGGGTCTTGCAGGAGCTTGTGCTCAAATAATGTGCATGGGGCATGGATGGCAGAGCTGGGAAGTGAGCCAGGTCTCCCAGAGCCTGGGCAGGTGGGTGCCCTATCTACCAGGTTACCTTTCATCTTACAGCATTAAAGGCCTGGCACGGTCCATCCATAGCCCTTTCTTCAGTAAGCCTAAGGTGCAGTCCTCCATTTGATCCATTTATGCCAGCAGCAAATTAAGTTTCAGGCTCTTACGATGAATTAGAGAGGCGAAGAGGAAATAGAGCACAAACTCATGTGCCTGGCCATATGCTTTACTATGGGTCTTCAGGACGGCCACCTATCACAGTCTCTTGCCTCTTCTTCTGAAAAAGCAGATGCTGTTCCCTGTCTGTGCCAGGACTGATTTATCGCATCTGTGTGCCCTTCTGTGGTCCGAAAAGGATCCTTCAGCTTTCTGTCTGAAGAAGGTCCTCACAAGAGACACAAGTTGTCTGAGAACATGTTGCACTCGCTGTTCCCCTCTCCTGTGACATTTCTTTACAGAAGCAGCTGAATAGCAAAACATATCAGTGTTCATTACTAATTTAGTTATTTTTAGCGAGCTGCCACAGATGGAGACTGCAGCACCATTCTATCTTTAGGGTGTAACGCCTGCCTGTCCATACAGACAATTGGCAATTAACACAAGAACAATTTGTTTATCTATTCTCGAACTTAAATAAATAAGAGAGCCATTTATCTGTCAAAATTCAACTCCCTCCCATTGCCAGATCTCCAGGTTAACTGCTTCATGAATAGAGCTCATCACTTCAGGCGTTTGGGTAAAGACAAAAGGGTCTTTTAAAAGAATTCCCATTAAAGAAAATGAAATATGCAATAAAAAATAACAGGTTATCTACTAAAGGGATAACATTTAGATCATAAGAATCAGGAACACAGGACAAGATGACAATAGCAGGGATGTCAAGCAGAGGTTTAGAAATGGACTAACTGGTAGCAGGAGAGGTGTGGAATATATATCCTCATTACTCCTGACATGTGCACTTCCTACCAGTTCCAGACACTCAGCTCTCAGTTGATCGCTCCAAGTGAATCCTTGCACAAGCATGAAACCGGGGAATAGAAGGCAAAGAGGATACTTGCAGTTCTCCAAGTAAAATCCAACATGTTTGCTAAGATGCCCCTGCATGGCTTGGATGGCAGGACCCTGCCCAATGTAAACACCATGCAAGCCAGGGAGAAGGCATCACATAATTTTTTCCATTTTTATTGCTGATTCCAACCCTTCTTTGTTTTCTTTTATTCCCTATACCCACTGCTGAAGCTAGAGAGGAGAGGAAGAGGCTTTATGAATAGATGGTCTTTGTGAGTTGTACCCAAAAGCTGGCCCCAGTTCCCTTCCTCCCTTGCCCCCATCGCTGCTGACGGGAGGGGAATGGGAGCTGCTCATGCTCACTTTAAAGGCTGAAGCTGTCTGTGCAGAAAAAAAAATGAACAACCCTTGTTTTTCTCACAATTCAGATGTTTTCAGCATCTGAAAGTGCTTTCTTACTCAAGCTTGCAGGTACAGCTTTTTTTTACATGTGTGTGAGTGTACACTCATCCATACATATAGGGTGGGAAAAATAACAGGAAAAATAAGATGGTTTTAGAGGTTACTGCTATCAGGTAGCAAAAATGGGTGAGATCTAAGGAATTCTGCCTGGCCTGCATTTCTGATCCCAGTGAAGAGCTATTTGCTTATTGTACTACCACCTGAACAATCTTTATTTGACCTTTTTATCTGCCTGTCATCATCCAGGAAGGGGATAAAAGCCACTAAATAAAAGTAATCTATTTCAAATACAATAGCTGGAAAGAAATAACTAGTAAGGATCTCCTTCTTATGTCTTTCAGCACACAACTCCGAATTTCCCCGTTGTGGTCAAGCTGGGACATGCTCATGCTGGAATGGGGAAGGTAAGTAAAAGAAAAAATATGTATAGCTCAGGAAACATATATGTGCCACAGCATTCCTGTGGTTGTGCACAGTGTGTGGACAGCCGACGAAGGGGTTAAACCTCCCCAGAGCCTATCTGTGTTGCACTGGCTGTTCCTGTGGGAGAAAAGGCCTTTTTCCACTGTCACGCACTTGGAGACAGGCAGTGGTATTGGGTTGGAGGCTGCCTGGGATGCAGGAAGGGGGGTTGCGAAGAGTGGGGGAAAAGCCGGCTGGGCTGAAGTCATTAGGCTCGTCTTTTATATATTTTCTACTCTCCTGAAAGTGGTAATGTTGTTTATTCAAGCACCTGTAATGTGCAGCTACACCCCATAGCTCTCACAATGAGGAGCAGTCGCACTGGTCTTTTTGAGTGCATTATGATGACCTTATTCAATACAACGGCAGCCCTTCAGTTATTTTTTTCCTCCTTGCAAGGAAGAACAAGACCTTACAAAGCAGAGTGGCTGGTTGCCTGCCAAGGAATCCTGAAAAACAGTTCACTCCCCAGAAGGACCTGTTTGTTTTTCCCAGGCTCTCTGGGGTCTTTATTCCCCAAGTGAATTAGCAGCCCCTGTTTCTTGGGGTGGCTGGGCTCCCCTTTCAGTGTGGCATCGCCAGCACATTCCTGCTGCGCTTTAGCCTCCCCTTTCTTGCATATACCTTTAAAAATCATCTCTTATCTGTCTAAAACTGGATTTGTTCAGAAGTAGGATATTCTGATGTATCAGAATGGGTGGTACATGAACTGTGTAATTGATACCTTGTCACGATACTTCCCTAGAGCAGACAGACCATCTCCCAGCCTCACACTTTGCCTGAAAATTATATATATAGGTATGCCAAACTTAAACTTGGTACATCTTGTTTGCTTGGGCTCTGGAAACGGAAGCCCTTTCTGGCTTCCTGGATTGCACATGGAAGCTCTCATAACCGTTCTTGCAATGTTCCTCTGTCTGGATGGTAGCTGCTGGAGAGGAAGTGGGTTCAGATCCCTGGCCAGTGGTGGAGTTGGCTTTCAGCATCAAAGAACAAACATTTAAATAAGCAGGAAATGTTTGTTAAAATATTGGTGCTACATATGTTAAACAGGCAAAGGTGTCGTTGAATCAGAGTACATGCAGACAAACCTAGAGCTGCTTGTAGAGCGAGCCACTGAACATGTCCCTAGGAAGGATTTCATTAGCAAAATTCAACCAGGACAAACCAGGAGGAAGAAACCTCTCCCTGAGGAAAGGTTTCAAGTTCCTTGAGACCCTGCAATCCTGGATCTCTCTGACTGCTCTGTAATTTCACTGGTAATGTAGGGAGGGCTTCTTTTGTCTTTCCTGTGCACAAAGACTACAGAAATTATAGCAGAATTAGAGAAAAGTACCCCAATCTTAACAGTGTTTCCAGACAAATCTCTCAGCTGAGTATTTAGCTATTGTCTTCTGTACCAAACACCAGATCTTCTTCCACCTCGTACTTTCCCTCCCATTTTATTCTTTAATTATGTTGATTTTTGCTGTCACAAGTTACAGGGGAAGAGAGTTTCTATTCAAACTTCAGGCACAATTGTACACAGTGGTACAAGGCGGGTACGTGGAAGTCATTCCAGATGAAGATAGGCCAACAGCCAGCATCTTAGAAGAAAGAATTGATCCAAGGCCAAGTTTACTTAAGTCCATTATGAAATTAGGGACTACTAGCGAAGTCTGGATGTGTGTTTGGGCACAGAGTTTCAACACTGCTCTATTCTGCAGATGGGGAAGGTAAAGGAAGGAAGGGTTGTTGACCTTATGGTTTTAGTTTGGGCCCTTCTCCAGCCACAAGCAGTCTGAAAGAAAGTTGAGACTGATTAAATTAGTCTTCTTGAAGTTGCACTGCACTTCATTACATAGAGCAAAAAGAGAAGAGAGAAAGTGAAAATAAAAATAAAGAACAAGTCAGTTAATTTAAAAGACAAGTAACAGGAATTTGTTTCATGTTGTTTTTAAGGTAATATGGTTCAAGCCCAAGTGGGATTGACAGAAACCCCAGAAAATGTCAGGAGAAATACAGATAAGCAGAACTATGGATATACTAGAAAAGTAACACCTATAGGTAAAAAAAAATCAAACCAATTAAGTAATTCAGAAAAAGAAGGTTTCCAGGAGACATAATGTTGGTTTTAACAATCATAATATAAAAGCAATAACCAGTGATGACATGGAGATTACAGAGAGCTAAAGAATTTCTTTGCATCAGTCTTCAGAAGTAGAGATGATAGCAGGAAATAGCAGGTCTTTAGCTGTAAAATATACGCAATATGAAATGAGAGAGATTTGCTTTTGGTTTAGATCAGCGTAAGTAAATAAATGTTAATAAAGTACCTGCATCAGGTCATGTTTTGTATAAAAGCAGTGACTGAAGAAACAAAGGATAAAATAACCAACCTATTGGCCAAAGTACACATGTCAGTATTAAAAATAGTACTTACTGCAACAAACGATGCCAAGCTAGTGAGCCATGTATTTGTACCTGTAATGGGTGCTTCAAAGGATGTGAGCATTCAGATTACAATCTCATTACCAACAGAAATTGTCAAGGAAGTACTTCCATTTTTCTTGTTATTAATGATAAAATCACATGTAATGGGAGGCACCAAGACTTAAAAGAATGAGCAAAGATGGGAAGTCCAGACACTGTTATTCTTTAATTGTACTGAGGCAGTGGCCAGGAGCCAGAAAAGCTCTGGACACAGAAAAAGCCTCTTCCCCAGAGTTCCACCATTGACTTGTAGGGAGACTTGTGCCATTTCACAGTTCTTCAGTTTCTCTGTCTTACAGACCAGAGGAATTATAATGATTACCTGATAGTTATTGCTAATTCATTTTCATAAGGCACTGTAAGAAGTGCTGAGTGTTTATTATTTTGCAATAATGGCTAGAAAGAGCATAATTATAATAGTCAGACTTTCATTTTCACATACTCTTTGTTTTCACAACATTTTCATAAAAGTCACTCAACACATTTTTCAGTTAGAGGGTTGAACAGAGAATCCTCAAAGCTAAAATGAAAAATAACCATGTTAGGACTTGTAAGACACAGGCTCTATTGACTGTCTTTAGCTTGAACAGTTAGTATTCAAGGTCAGAACCAAAAAGGGGTGGCAGTATACCATTAGTGATAAAAATGCTCTTGCCAAGTGCATGTAAGGTGCACATGGGGATGAAGAAAAAAAGAATTGCAATAAAAGGCATATTTTGAAATTTCCATTGAGAAATCCAGAAACAACAGCCTCTCTGTTGACTCGAACAGAGATACCAGGAATAGGCTTCACCCAGAGAGACAAAGGGGCCCCAGACAATCTTCTCGTCTAAAAACAGGACATATCCCCCTCAGCCCCTCCCATGACCTTCATTATCCTCCTTACAAAATTTGAAATCACTTCATATTTCACTGGCACTGGATGATCGTAACAAGTGCTCTGTGTGCTGCTGGTCTGATATGGTATTGTTACAAATACAATAGCTGTAGAAATGCTGCTCAGACAATGATTTACAATGGAGGCAGCAGAGAAGGGCCTTTCTCATGTTGTATTTAAGTTGCCCAGGTTTATGTGGTCAAAAATACTCAAGGAGCCTTCCAGGGAAACCATGGGTGGACACTGAGATGAGATGTCCTTCCCTGTGCAGAATTGAACTACTCTTCGCCCAGCGGTTCCTAAAGGTCAAGGCATTTTTAAGCATTGCACATTTAAGCTTGAGCCTGACTACCCCAGAAGTGATTGGGGGTCTCTGTTGCGTTGGGTGAGCACCACAGTGAGAAAGGAATAACACTCCTTCCTGACTCCAGATCTCATAATGCCAGAGCCCCTGGAAAGAATAAAGCTCTGAGTGTACTAATATCTGCCATTTGTGTGCTAACATGACCCTAAACTGCCCTAGGAACAGAGCCCAGCACTGCAAATTCTCTCAAAGAGCCTCTTCACCTCTTCCTGATCAGATCATGAGAAGGAAACAACTGCCAGATCTGTGAAGAGCGGAAAACCAGTATCTGTTCATGTGGCTTTATATATATTTATATGAATTTAATAAATGTATATATATTTTGCTACTCTTACTTTATTTTTAGACCTCTCTTACTAGGTGAGTTTAAGAGTCGCCTCCTGTCCCCTTCTGCCCCATAATTATGAAAACACCTCCCCAGTACAAATCCTGGCTCAGATGAATTTATTACATTGTAGAAGAAAAACTTGTTGTTCATAATAATGTGGTCAGAGTTATTTTCGCTCTTACTGGATGGGAAAGACTTCTTTACTTTTTTTTTCCCCTGGTATAAATATAGCACAAGCTAAACAGAGCCACTCTATAATGTAAAAATACTGCAGGCTTTTTATCAGGAAGGACAGCTCGTCACCTTGTCTCTCTTGGGACTGGAAATAGAATGTTCCAAAAGTGAGAGCTTTGAAAATCCAGTGTGCTAAAGAGGAAAGGAAGGGGAAAGGGCTGCCTCGGTTTGTCAAGGAACAAATATTTTCTTTTACAGAGGACAAATAATGACTTGACATGTAACATTCACAACAGAGCAGCCCAATCGCTGCGTTCCCACTGACTCATGAGTGAGGAGGTACCACCCATCTTGAAAATAGCAAAAGCATCCTCATTTCTTGCAGACCAGTCTGGAACCTTTTGCTGGGCACAGAAAACAGTGAATGATCCAGGCTACCAGGGACTAAAGCTGCCAAAACCTGGGGCTGAGAGAAGCTCTCCGTTAGGAAGTTGGTAGGGATTATAAAGTTTAATGCATTAAAGGCAGCATAACATGTGGAGAACTTCAGTGTGAGGATAATAATGAAATGCAGACATTGTTTTGTCTTTATTATTTTGAGGTGAGTCCAAGTTAGGCCTAACTGAATGTGTGTCAGTTGGATGAGGTATTTTCTGAGATGGGGAGTATAATTTGGGGTAGAGGGAAGGAGAGACTCGGGAAACTCTCTGTACAGAGCCATTCCTGAAGATCTGCTGTCTCAAAATGGCGAAGTCGCTACAGAAAGGCTAAGTGCAGGTCAAGATGGATGAAAAATCACAAGCTCTGTGAGGCCTTGCCAGTTCCTCTGGAGGAAAAGACTCAGACATTTTCACAAGCCTACCAAGGCTCGGTCAAACACCACGTTGCCAAACCTGGCCCTGGCTCAGCCTTGGACACTTACCTCCCAGCTGAACCTGCCTCTAACCCCAGTTTGGACACAGAAACCACTTCTGCAAGTCATCTCTAAAGTGGTGTGGGTTTAACCTGTGAGGCAGATTTAGCTCTGAATGACACTCAGAGAGGCAAGGCTAGGGCAGCCCTAGCAGACTACTATAATTATGCCACTTTGGCAGACTATTTTTTCATGTGGCCATGTAACTAAGGAAGGCAAAATGGGACTGTGAGGCAATACCTTGCAGTGCTTAGGCTAGAGATGAGAAAGGAGAGCTGTAGCCATGGGACCCTGGTGTCCAGGAACATCTGGGATATATGTGAGACAGTAGATTTGGGAACTGTGAGACAGAGAAAGTAGAAGTTTCTGCCCAGGTCTATCACTGCAGGAAGCTGTGCTCACACACATCTCAGGGGTGGTTCAGGCTGCCTGGGAAATATCCACAGTGGGTTTTTAACAATGTCAGGACCCATTCTCCAAAATCCTGTCTTGCAGGAAGACCTCAAAAGCACATCCAGAGCAGGGATGAGACAGAAATGTTTGTTCATGATCTGTTCCTCAGACCACTCTCCAGCCAAAGGCAGGAAGATCAGTGCCTCTTGGGCAGGCTGAGGATGGAAATGAGCACCAGCTGCAGGTCACAAAGTTTCATCCTCTGAGATGCCACCACTGGGCAAATGGACAGTCACATCTGTGTGAGCATGTCCCCAGGGGTCCAGCCAGACTCCCCTCTCCACTGCAGCGACAGGGAGTGTGCTAAGGCACGGCCGGTGCCTGAGTCACAGAAGAGAGCCAGAAGGGAGGAAGGGACTCTCCTGGGGAACTTTCTTCCTCAGAAAAGGCATTTGTCAATGCACTGGCCCAAACTCTTCACGACAGGTCACTAAAATGCTACGGCAAACAGCAGCTGATGGTTCCAAAATGAGTCTATTGCTGCTCAAACAACCAGCACAGCTAAGCAAACAGGCCACCAGGGCAGGGGCTGTGTTTGCACTCACTGTTTGCACTCCTCTATGCACCTAATGGGATATTGCATTTATCCTAAGAAGGGTGCAAAAGAGAGGGAGAGAGAGAGAGAGAGAGAGAAATGGCTTCCTGTTGATCTCTTTCCAACTTCTTTTCTCAGTTTTATGCATTGGCCAACCTGCCATTTTAGAAGACAGATGTATCTCTTATTAGGTAAATTGTTAACTGTTTGCTCTAGAATTATTTTTAATAGTCCCTTCTTAAATAATGCCCTCTGGCGTCACAGTATATCCACCCTGGCTTTGGTTATCTCTAGGGTTTTTTCTCCTGTTAGGAGAATGGATATTTTATTGACATGTAAAAGGGTTACAAGGCAGGAGGAAATGAATTATACAAAATTTAAAAGTAGAAAGCTAATAAAATGGTGGACTTGATAGATAAGCCAGGAAAATAAATCTAATTTGACTGTAACTCGAGTGCTTCCTGTTTATGAAGTCATAACTATATGCTGGACTAAACCAGCGTTAACCCAGGACACGGCTGTTATTTTGTCAAATTTGGCCAGCTCTAACAATTAACAAACAGTGGCTCAGATTTCAGCATTGGTGTGGTGATTATTTTGATGCCTGGTGGGAAAAAGAGCCATGATCTCCTAAAAGGGGTCCTCTGTGAGGTGCTTTCTCTGAAAAGTCCGTGGAAAGGAGTCTGGCACAAGCCAGGGAAGATGGCAGAGCTGTTTCCAGGGGGCTGTGTGGTGGTATAGCACTGTGGGAGTCATCATCTTTGTTTTTCATGTCTTACTTTGTGTCCTTGGTGAGTCCCCTCACTCTTTAACTATTTACCCAGCCAAAAATCCTCAGGCTCATTGGAAAAAACACCTCTTGCTTTCCTTCTCTCCCCACAGGGACAGGGTGATGTAGAGGAGGAAGAAATGGTCCCTTCCATTCCATAGCATAATGAAGTTTTGAGGAAAAATCCCATTTAACAAGTTAAGCATATAGCTCTTTCCTAGCAATAACAATACAGTCTAATTCCAGTATGGAGAGGGAAGCGGCATCCCTTCCTCTGCCTCTGGGACAAATGTTCCTGGGCTGGGAATGCAAACGTTTCAGCCAGGGCTCAAAGACATCTGTCGCAGAAGCACAGCGCTTTGTTTCAGATCCCACAGGAGTCCTTGTTCCAAGTAGGTCATCATACAATGGCTTTTGCCTTTTCCCATTGCCAAATGGGTCCAGGAGAATATGTCGCAACACTGTGCGTCACCTGCCCATATAGTACCTCCTGTGATCATCTCATTTGGGTGGGACTCCCTTGCTTGATGTCATTCAGCCCAGCACTTATCTGTGCAACAGAAATACCTGGCCCTGACACAGCCTGCATTGTTCCTCCGGTATTCTGTAAGAATGTGATGCCCAGGCTGGGGGCTTCTGCCATGTGAGGTGCTCCCCTCTCCTGTTCCCCCACAGCCTCTGGGGCTCTCCTACCACCTCAAGCTTCCCTGCCATGCCAGGACCACACAGATCTGCTCAGACATAGAGGGGAACACCACAGCCCAGAGCAAGGTTGCTCCTCCTTGATGAAGTGCAATGATTGCCTTTACATTTCCTCTTTGGGTTTGTTATTTCCTTTTTTTCTTTTCTACGTTCCCACCCCACAGACTCTTGTCGTCTTCCTCTGCTCTTTTCTCAGTGGTCCTTGAACAGCAAGAGCACAGTCTTCACCACAGCAAGGGGGTATTTGGCATTCAGCAAAAAGAGAAGCAACGACCAGGTCTTTTTTCCTCTTATTCAGATATCTAAAAATGGTCACAGGTCAAACTAGTTGCACTTTTCACCTTCCCCACAGTCTGCCCAGTTCTCAAGAGCTTTTCTGGATCAGGATGTGGCTGCATTTTTGGCTTATAATGTGGCTGGTGCTTACACAAAACCATCTAAACAGAGTAAAGCAGGTTAGCAACAAGCTTGTCCTCTGTTCTCTAGTGAAGATGGCTCCTGCCCTCTCATGGTTGAAAGCAGATATGTAAAACCACTTGTTTGTTCTTTGCGAAGAAACATGAAATACCATTGCATGTGTTTCCTTCAGCCGGCTCCACATAGTCTGGCATCACCCTCCTTTAACACACGCACTGACGCAACTGGGAAACTCTTCTAGGGCAGAGACCAACCAGTTGTCACGAGCGAGTAGACACTTAGCAAAGCAGGGTTGCAATTCCCAACTGTGGTCTTGAAGTGTTACCAAACTACAAAGTGAAGATAATACGTAAAGAAAGTCATTCAGTTTCTCACCCTTTTCATACAGTGTTGGTCTTTTTTCCACCAATTAACCCACCCTTCCTGCATCCATCCGGCTCTAAGGAACAAGACTTGCACGGATTTCTCTGATGCAGGAAACAAGTTTTTGCTAATAGACTAAAGGCCAGGGTTGATTGTGTGGATGAGGTGAAGTTGTCCACTATGTTCTCATTACCTTCTTGTTCAGTTTTCCTCTCCCAAATCAATGAGCTTATGCGGAGATTTGATCATATCATTAGAGCTTCTACTGGTTTGGTCCTTCTTTCTTCAATTTTTTCTTTTTTTTTTATGAGATACAGAGCATTTTTCATAACTGAATACAGATCTGTGAAAAGCCAGCTTCCCATACAAACTCCAGCTCATAGGCCACTGCCCTCTCATTTCCAAGTGCAACTCAAGTCTAACACCCAACCAGCTGTCCCACACATGTGTCCATGGCATTGCATTCACACAAATCTCCTCCAAAATCACAGGTTCCCCCAGGGACATGTTTTTGCTTCACAGCTTGCTTCCAGCCAGGAGACCTGCACTGCTCTTCAGAGAAAGTCTGGAGGGTGGTAATGTGAAATGCCAGGGAACTGAATCCTAGAAGTGGCAGACAACCAGCTCTCTTGTTGATTTTCTGGCATTGGTTTCTATTTCCTGACCACCCAAAATACTGTTTTCATCCATCCCAACATGGGAAATAGCAGTTCCAATGCTTGAATGAAGTAATGCCCCTTAAGAGATCAAATGTTTTTCTGAAGCATCATAAAAGCAATGAGCATTAGTAAGAGCCATCTGGGCGAAGGTCTAGCTGACTTGCCGGTGCCAGGTTTACCAGGGCTTGTGCATGAGGAAGGAGAAAGGCGTTGATTTGCTCTGTGTTGGGTTGGTCTGGGGAACTCCACTCTTTAAGTCACACAATCCCTGTTCTGTCCTCAGCTCTGTCTGTGTGGGTTTTAACTGACGTTGTGCTATTCAGGTATGGAGATGACTGTTGCTAACAGAGTATTCCTGTTCTTTTTGCTCTTGTCACTTTTTCACTGCATTTTGGCAACCAAGGTCAAAGTTGAGAACCAGCACGACTTCCGGGACATGGCCAGCATAGTAGCCATGGCAAAAACCTATGCCACCACCGAGCCATTCATTGACTCCAAGTATGACATCCGAATCCAGAAAATTGGCAGCAACTACAAGGCTTACATGTGAGTGCACGGCTATGCTGGAGTGAGACGGGGGGAGCTGTGGAAGTGATTCAGTCAGTGTCTGCTCTGGGCAGGAGTAGGAAGCTGACTTAATTTCCTTGAAGAATAGCCCTGTTGTTCTCCTCCCACCTCTGAACCCAGATACCTCATCCACCGGTCATCTTCTCCGTTACTCACTGTCAGCTCATTGTATCTGCAAGGTAAACGTCTCTCTACCTGTTTCTGAGATTCAGTTAGTTCCCACTATAACAACTGTGCTTTGCCATCACCTATCACCTCCTCCCTCCTGTTGTCAAAGGGCTCATCTTTCCCAGCAAAATCCTCCAGCTCCCAGCACCCTCCAGTGTGAACTGAACCCACTCCCTTCCCACCTTGGAGAAACAATGAAAAGATTGAGCCAGCTGTAACTCATGGAGTGCCACAGTGTCCAACACCTCATCCTCTCCCCAGCTGGAGATCACAGCACAACAATCACACGAGGACACGAGAAGCACACAGCACTGGGTACAAACAGACTCAGCCTGGCCAGCATGCAGGGTTTCTGTGGGCTTTCTGCATGTGTGCTTGAAGCATACAAAGCAGGGAAAGGAGAAAGAGAGAAATTTCAGTGCGTTCCCCAAAGCTCCTCCACTGCCCTGTGGGGTAGTGAGGGAAGTGGCATGAAGGCAACCCTCAACGCTGGTATGTTTGAAAATATTAAAAAGTGCTCAGCCAAACTTCAGTAGTCATCAAGCTCAATTAAAGATGTAACCACATGAGTCAGTCAAACACCTGTTTCTTCTTACTGAAAGAGAAAGCCTAATAGCACAGCTTCTCCAGAAGCTCCTTATCCAGCCACAAAATTCTGGACAAGTAGACAGCTCCAGCAGTAAATTCTTCAGGTCACCAGATAAATAAATTTCATATGTTATCTAACACTCACAACACTGTGAGCTTCGGGTCCGTGTTTACAAACCCCCAGGCCATAGTTCTGACAAAACATAGTTAAATAAGATAATCAAATATACACGATCACATATTTTTCAGCCATAGCTGCCTAAAATTCCTGGTTGGATTCCTAGCACAGAGGTATTTAACTAAACTAGATGATGACTGAGTCACATTCTTCATGGGAAGGACTTGTGGGACACCGGACTACTTCACATGAACTCAATGAGAGAAAATTTGTTTTGAATCTGATCAGGTCAACAATAGCACAGTTGCCTAATATTACATTAACATCTCAGGGAGTCTGGCTCAAATTGGCCAAAGGAAGGAAGGTTTAAAATATCAATTAAAATTCCTTGTTCCTGCCAACCTACCCAGCCTTGGCTCCAGAGCCTGCTCCCAGCCTGCGTCTACGTGAAACAAAGACCCGGTTAGCCTGACCATATCCTCTCCCTGTTTATTATTCGCACTCACCACGCACTCATCCAGACTGGGATCACAAATAATACCAGATGATTGAGGAAAGAAAGCAGTCACACTAAGAGCTAATCCCATTTGGGAATATAGCTGCATAAACAATTGTTTGCTAAATGAAAAATGTTTTCACATGAAAACAGCCATGAACGGGAAATACGTTAATGAGAAATGAAGCTAATTAGCAAAGAAAGCAAACACCAAAGTTCACCCAGTGCCTTGCTAACCCAGGAGGTTGACTTATATTGAGAGAGCCATTTATGGACGTGAGCTTGGGAGAGCAGTAGTCAGTCTCTTTGGGGGCTGTTCTTTCTGTCCCAGCATCAGACAGAATAGAAGGTTATTTCTATGGTATAAATAAGTCCCTACTATGTCCAAGGACAGAGGTAAAAGCACGCAAAATATCAGAGCTCTCACCGGTGTCTCAAATAGAGGACTCAAAATCATTAGTCATGCTAGCAAATCTCAGACTTAAAGGCAATTACAGCATCTGCAGTAGCGTCACACTAAGTGAATTGCTTTGATCTGTGAGCCATGGGATCTACCCAGTATTTTTATACCTTCACCCACACATACAGATTTTAAAATCCCCCTTCCTTCTGAGAAAAGACTGCGTACCGAAATTCTCCATAATATGTTTACTTTGCACCAAGCATCTGCCAGAGGGAGGATGCTACAGGGTGACTCATGCATTCCTCCCCGCCCCAGATGTTCAATGCACTTCCTTCCAGCCCATGACCCAAGGCTTGAGTTCAGTTTCCCATTGACTTCAGTGTAGTGACTCCAGATTCACACTACTAACAAACACCTACTTAGCCCATGCCTTGGGGCAGTCTCAAAACAGCAGATAAGCAGCATGTGATACATGCCTAAAATTCCACCAAATCTATTTGACTGTCATTGTAATACTGGCAAAGAGAAGACTTGAATGCTAGTCACGTGGCAGGGGAAATTGAGGCAGAAATTAATCTTCCACCCTCATCACAACTGAGAGCAAAGAGAGGGATTGTTTCCAGTTAAAATTTGTGAAATGTTGTTCACTTTGAATGAGGCTAGCAGCTGCTGGCTTTCAAGGGTGGGATATTCCTTGCCACCAGCTCTTAGTAAGAGGGTAATATCCTTTCCTTTCTAGTTTCATGAGTGTGACTTCTGATCTTGTCACCTCAAATGCAGTTCAATGTGCTCTACAGGGGATACAAACCAACTGTGTCTAAACCAGAGCTACTTTTAGACTGAAATGGCTCAGCTTGGAGATGGTAAGTACAGGACACCAACAGCCCATGATCTGCTAGTTGATCCACTTATCCTAAGCAGTGCTGAAGGTGTCACAGATCTGATCAACCAATCCCTAAAAGCCTGGGGTCCTTTCCTTTAAGATACTGACTGTACACTGCCTCCCTGATGTTTAGGATGATTGGAAGTACTTTGACTTTCAGTCCCTGAGAGAAATGGGATTTGAGCCAGGGCATCCTTAGGGAGATATTTTTGTCTTTAGTCTCGTTTTCCACTTCGGGTTGAACACTAAAAGAGAAAGAAAAAAGAAGAAGAATTTCATGGCACACTTCACACCTGAACTGCTCAGACATATTTAGAAAGGAGTGATCTCGACAGAGGCTGTGGTGTAGGAACTTGGTGACTGGTCCAGAGGGCTTCAAATGAAGCTTTTCAATTTAAAAACAGGAAAGTTGCCTAACAGGAAAGTTAGGGTGGAGATGGGTGAGCATAAACAAATCAAACCCATCAGCCCAATGGCTAGAGAAGAATTCTTATTTTGGGAGCTTTCCCATACCAAATTTCCTTCTAAAACTGTATAGCTGTGGTTTGGTTTTCTTAGGGATAACACAGTTGCTTACATTTGGTATGCCAGGTGCATTTTCTGAACTAATGTCCAATCTTGTCACTAATGAGACTCCGGGAGTTCTCATCAGTACTAATGGGATTCTGGATGCCATCTGCCACTGCAGGGCAATTTTCTGATCCTAAATGTTAATAAAGAATGGTTCTTCTTATTGCAGAACTGAAAGACATAATCCTAAGAATCCCATGTCAAAAGAAAAAGAGAGTCTGAGGGTTGAACACAGACCTTACAGGCCATCAAAGGGCTCATAACAGTCAACGCTTGAGGAGAAATACATTCTTTTGTTCAGAAAGTAGGGCAGGAAGATGGATGTTGGGTGAAGGGAACAAGGGACAAGAGCCAACTATATGGAAACACAGTTATGCAACAGAGTAGCTATGCTCTTCCACTCTTCTCCCTCCTCCCCACCCCCAACCCCTTTAAATATGGTTACAAAAACCATTAAAGTTTCACAGCAACTATGCATACCATGTATGAAGATAAATGGAACAGGACTCCAAGCTGTCCCTCACCATAGTACAGGGGAACCCTAGGAAGTCAACTATAATAATCCAGGTTCATAGTGTAGCAGGACACCAGGACATCACTGCTTCACGTAGTTTTGCAAGTTTCCACATCATGCTGAAAAAGTGAGAGAACTGGCAGCAAGGTTCCCACAACCTCATGTTGGACCGCACCTCATACTCTCCTAATAAATCTCTATCTAAATCTTCTTCAGCATGGAGATGCTCCCTGGATGTATCCTGTCAGCTTGTTGACTTGTCCTAGCTTGTACACTATGTATACTGTACATAGTTGAGCACTGTTCCAGGCAGATGGACAGTGTTGTCACAGCAGGCTGTCCAAGATCTGCCTTGTGCCTAAGGTCAAGAAAAGAGAAATTTTCATCCCTTGGTGGATGACGGTGAATCCCAGGATTTTCCAGCAACAGTACATTTTTCTGGAAATTAACTATCAGTTGCAGCTAATGCAAATCCAACAATTTTGCATTTATAAATTCTCCCAGTCCAGACACAGTGAGCCATGGACAGGTCAATGAAAAGTCAGTGAAAAGAGAGTATAATCATATAGTCTATGACACCAATAGAATTGAAATCAAAGTTAGGAAGACCCAGAATATCAGAGCTGATATTTGTGAAGCTGCTCAGGCAGATGTTTGCCTGAAGAGTTGCTCTTCCATGGAAAGAAGTTGCTACACATTACAGAACACAAGGGTGATTATCCCAGATCTTCTGCAGACATTTCAGCTCTCCTGGGCCTGATATATGAAGAAAGAAAGTACTCACAGAGCTTGATGTGTGCTCAAGATTCCTTGGAGGTTTCCCTGTCTAACTCCTTATTCAGGTTTTCATGAGTCTGAACAACATATCCTGTATGGAGTGTTGTGGAGGCAGGATTTGGAAAGGCTTCTGTCAGGAAGAACCTCACCTTATCCCCTCCTGTACAAGCACTGAGTCAAGAATGAGGACTACAGTATGCGGGAGGATGGGGCAGCAGTGTATTTTTCTTTTCAGGTTACGTTTTTGGTTTGTTTTCCTAGGAGGACGTCCATCTCTGGAAACTGGAAGGCAAACACAGGTTCTGCGATGCTAGAACAGATTGCAATGACAGAGAGGTAAGGAAGAGGGTTTCAAGACAGTATTAGCTATTCTTGGGTTAGAAGGGAGGAATCGTATTTCAGACTTTGGTTAATTGAGAGAACTGGTAAGTGAGGTCTCCTGGGAGGCTGGATAAAGAAGTTTAAAAGACTGAGTGTTTCCTTAAAAAAATACTAAGAGCACAAAGGCAAACTGTCCTATTTTGGAGAACAGACTGGAAGTACAGCTAGAGACTAACATAACTAAATCATTAGATCTTTAGTGAATGTAGCCACAGGAAACAAGATCAGCATGCTAAGGTCAAGCGCGAGCACAAACATGTAGGGATAAAATCAGAAAGGTCACAGCACAAAACAAGAAGTAACAAGAAGTTATTCTAAGCACATTACTAATGAGAGGCCGACACAGAAGAGTGTTTTTCTTCTGCTCAACAGAGGGAAAAATCAGTCAGCTGAAGTGTTGAAAGTGCTTATTTGCATTGGTCTCCCCAAAGTGGACACTGTTTTAGCAAAGTCTTCTCACTGCTGCAAAGAGCTGAAGGAATTGCCTCATGCATCTTACAGATGAAATTTTGCATATGGTACTTCCATACATTCAAATCACTGAGATATTTGCTAATATGGCAACTGCAAGACATTGTTGACTCATGGTAACTTATGCTTTTCTGTAACTCCCAAACCCTGTTCTGCAGAACTGCTATCAAATCACCTGTTCTCCATTCTATTGAAGTATATCATTCATAGATTTATAGAATCCATAGATTATATGTAGGCACTCATCCCTAGTGAATCTAAGATTTTTTCCAACTCTGTCTCCAATTTGTCAGGATGATTGAATTCTGACTCTGACCAGGTTTGGGCACCACATTTAAAGAGAGATAGCAAGGAGCTGGAAAAAGCCCAAAGGACAACAAGGGGGAACGCTGAGAGAAAACATAATCAACCTATAAGAAAAGTATGCAACAACTGCTTATGTAGTTTTCCAAGTTAGCAGACCACTAATATTTTTCCAGTAGAGGTGTAGACTTGTGCCTAATGAATGCCTCCAGTGCAGAGGTTCACTTTCCTTCATTAGCTGTCACAGAGCTGGAAGAAGTTGTCCACAAGCTGAACACCACTTCATCCTAAAGGTGAAAAAACTTGAAGGGCACAAGCACTTCAAATATGTAAAAGGCTGCTAATAGAGCATTACTCACTCTTTATATTACCAGTATAATACTGTAAGAAGTAATGGACTCAAATTATAGCATAAAGGGTTTGTTTGAACATTTCCCATATTTTCTAACAGTAAGGATAGAATAGCACAGAAATGGATTGCCTGAAGGAGATGAGAAATCCCTGTATTCTTTAAGACCAAATTAAAGAAAAGTCTCCTCTTTGGGGTAAAGAATTGTGCAGGTGATCATCTGAGGTCCCTTTTGTACCCTTAGTTCTGTGAAACAGGGAAGTCAAACCGAGCCCCAAATCAGATGCTGAAGGTGACTCTGCAAGACTGTAATAGGACTGTGGGAACTGGACACTATTATGCGTCCTGGTGGCTTATATGACAGCTTAAGCTAGAGAGATGAAAGGTAGACACACTCTCATTGCAGTGTTGTAGGACTAAAACACATATTCCTGCCAGCCTGCTATGCTACATTTTGAAGATTCATTTTATAGATGCAGTACCACAATTCACCATTCTAGCCTTATCCAGCCATAAATGCAACAAATCCCATTGAAATCTGTGAGTCATCAGTGCACGCAACAAGGCAGGAGTGTGCTAAAATGCTCTGCTGAGTAGGAGCAACCTGAAGTACCTATTGTACTGAATGTTAGCCCAAAGCATTGACATGACCAGGTAATAGTAGGCAAAATGGCAGTGAATCCTCTACAAATGCTACCCCTGATACATATACATCCCTCCTCAGCAGCCCTGATGCCTCCCAGTGCTCACCTAGGGCCAGCAACGTTGAAGACATGTAGCTAACCAGCGCTGGCCTGGGCAATGATTCCCTGAGCCTGGCTGCTGAATCCAGACCCCTAGAGATGTCCCTCAGGAAGAGAGGTAGTTCCCATGATGGTGCTTCTGAGTGTGGGACCACAGCAGTACAGGTGGGGTGCTGGCAGTGCCTCCTGCATGGCTCATGGGGTCCATAGTTCTCCTCTTCCTTATGCTACTGACTCCTCCTCAGGTGCTGTCTTCCTCAAGGGGGCTGGGGTGGTCTCCTCATTAGAGATAAGAGGGCACCAGTAGTCATATAAGCCATATTCTTGTTTTTTCCCACAGACATTTTGTTCGCACAAGTTGATCATTATATTGTGAAGCTATGGGGACTCTGGCTGGCTTTAAGGACATAAACTTGTTCTTTGGCCAGAACAGCTCTTTTCCCAGTCCCTGTAGGGTCTGCAAAATGTCAGTGTTTTCATGAGACTGTCGCCTTCCCTCTCCTCCTCGCATCTTGTGGTCCTGCTTACAGATCCGCTGTTCTGAGATTATTATTTTTATTGAAATGGTTGGGACTGCAGCACAGCTGCACAGGAAATAAAACCAGGCCTCCTCATTCCCTCCTCATTTCCACAGCGGGGGGATGCAGTCCCCCCATAATACGCCTCTTGTCATTCTCTCTCCTGCTGTGGCACCAGGATAGCTAAGGGGGCACCCGCCAGGCCTGGCCCTTGTTCATACCAGCTCACATTCCCATTCTGGGACAACTGGAGAAAAGGGCTGCAGCCTGCAGCTCTCCCTCTGACAAAGTAATGCCTGGTCTTTGTGATGGGACCACCTGGCTAGGAGCAACACCCAAGGGGCAGAAGGGAGGCAGGAGACTGTAAAAGGATGAAATTGAAAGCATAAATTGTAAAAAGCAGGAGCCACTGGGTTACAGATCGGGGAGGGGATGACTACTACTTGCTAAATTCTGCACTCACTCCAATCCCATTCCAGCCTCAATGTGTAGGACATCTTATCAGGAGAAAGCTGCCTGCATAATGGAGGGCTTTCAGGCAAAGCCAATACAAACGCTAAGGGGCCAACACTACTGGGAGATTAAATGAGCTAAATATTTATAGCTTGGCTAAATGACAACCAACTGGAGATCTGATGTAAACACCAAGGAGAGAAAAAAACATTTTAAGGTGGATTTGAGGGCAGGACTGAAACAATCTGAAATGAAGGGAAGCTTTAGGCAAGTTTCTTTTTTTTTTGCTCCATCTTCTGTGCAAGACAGGGAGGCAATAACCCAGCAAAGCATATGAAGCATGCCTTCATATTACTTCAAAATGGTTCCTGAATCTCTTTGTGTTCTTATGGGCAGCAGGACGGGTGGCTGTATTTGGTGGACTACCCAATGACAGCTAATCCTAGGCCATGCTTCTGTGGTTTCTGCAGGTACAGACTCTGGGCGGATGCCTGCGCGGAAATGTTTGGAGGTCTTGACATCTGTGCTGTCAAAGCTGTCCACAGCAAAGATGGAAAAGACTACATCATTGAGGTGAGAGCATGGGAAACCTGAATGCAAGTCTCCTTTGGGAAGTGTATCTGCAAACATGCTTCCTTGGAGCTCACATGCACCAATCATAGAATCATAGAATGGTTAGAGTTGGAAGGGACCTTAAAGATCATCAAGTTCCAACCCCCTGCCATGGGCAGGGACACCTCCCGCTATACCAGGTTACTCAAAGCCCCATCCAGCCTGGCCTTGAACACTTCCAGGGATGGGGGATCCACCATTTCTCTGGGCAACCTGTTCCAGTGCCTCACCACCCTCACAGTAAAGAATTTCTTCCTAATATCTAATCTAAATCCCCCCTCTTTCAGTTTAAAACCATTGATCCTCGTCCTATCACTACATTCTCTGATAAAGAGTCCCTCCACATCTCTCCTGTAGGCACCCTTAGGTACTGGAAGGCTGCTACAAGGTCTCCCCAGAGCCTTCTCTTCTCCAGGCTGAACAATCCCAACCCTCTCAGCCTGTCACTTACTCCTGTGTGCACAGTCCAGCAATCACTGCTCCTCAGTGTCCACCTGTTTCCTCCAAGCTGTGGCCCACTGATATGCAAGAAACTGATTTAGAGTCCCAGGTAAACTGGTAGATATGCAGCAAGGTGTCAGGGTTGAAGTGCTTTCATTTCTCATTGTGGGCTGTGAAGGGAAATGGAGACTGCTCAGTCACCTCAGCTTTTCAGCTGAAAAATCCCCATAGTGCAGAACCTCACCAGTATGGCACAGATGTGAAGCTGCCTTCTTCATGCATGTAACAGCCTGCAAGTGTTGCTGGCAGCATGGAAAGTTTGGTTTCTCTCAATGCAGTAATGCCCCAGTACCCTCCTTCCTAGGCTAAGCACTTGCAAAGCCAGCGCATCTCTCATAGGTGCTAGTAGGGATCAACAACATCAGGAACAAACGTGCCTATTTTCAGCCCATCTTGAATGCAGGTGCCAATTAGTGCTAGAATGTTAGTCATGTTAACCTCCCCCCACTACCCGTGCAGAGGTCCAGCAGGTGTTTCAATCCATTAAAAAAAATCTCACTTTGTCTCTGAATGAACCTGTCTTTCTGCAGTCACTTTAAAGGGAACCCCAATAACAAAAACCCTAGCTGCATTTAATTTAAAAGAATAAAATCAGTTGTGAGAATGTAGCAAAAATATCCATAAATAGCAGGAAAAACTTAACTTAAAAAGCAGGTGTATTTACTAAAATCTTTTGCCCAGCAAGGCAAAGCACCACGGAGTTACTATGGGCAGTGTGGACCACAAATGTTTGTGTTCAGAGCCCTGTTAGCTGGACAGACTGTGGCTCTGAGAGCTAAAGTTCAACGTGCTCCTTGCCAGGCCAGGAGGCAGATGTGGGAGTGGGGTGGATAGCACGCTCAGGTCATGCTAACAGGGCAGAGAAGGAAAAGCTGGCCAGAAAATCAAAGTGGAAACTTTCGAGACGCTCTGGGGGAGAGAAAATCTGGCAAGTAAGCAAGTGCCTCTGTCACTATGTGACTCAAGAAGGCACAGCATCTGACCTGCTGTAAACTCCACCAACACAGGCCGGCCGAGGAAGATGAGCAGAGCCAGCCCATGGCTTCATGCAGGGGTGCTGACACACTGGAAAGCTATGTGTGGGAGAGCAGTCCCACCCGCTGAGGGTTGGGATGCTGATGAGAACCACATGAGCCCTCCAGTGACTGCGCATTCCTGCATTATGTATCTGCTCTCCGGGGAGCGGTGACCTGTCAAAGGCCATGTGATCTAAGTGCAGCTGCCAGCAACAAAACAGCCACGAGCCTCCGTCTTTCCCAAAGTGATGGGGGAAGTCCACCGCTAATGGGTCTGCTCCTGTATGCAATACATCAGCACCTAGAGGAGCATCCCCCACAGCAGACTGTCCCCTGACGTGCACTTTTATATCTCTGTGCACATGCAGTTGAGAAAGGAAGAGCAAGGCAGCAGTCTTGCTAGAAATGACTGGGAGGACATTTGGACTATGTCCATACATGGTCAGACGTGAGATGTGGATTTCATACCCCAGCATCTATTCTTGCATATAAGCCCATGTACGTGCACACATGGCTAATTCTGTGCTTAAGGATTATATGCCTCTGTCTGGGTATACCTCTGGGTTTTCACATCTGCCCCTGTGTGTGACTGACTGGAGAAAAAGCGCATCCATACACTAACAACCATCATCAGCTTGCACAGAGTGAAACAGGTGCTAATATTCCTCTCTCTGAGAGCAAGGTAAAAAGCAATGGATCTAACATGATACAAATCAGAAGAAACACATCAGCTTCAGATGGGTCACGCTGAATTATCCCAGCAGAGAAGCTGATTGAGCAGGCCTGATGTACCAACAATTAGCAGGCATTCAGATGCCAGACTGATGGACGTTGTAGGAAAAGGAGTAGAGTAGTGCCAGACAAAGAGCAGAACAAAGCCAACCGGGCACATTTTCTACTTTATGCAGATCTGAGGGAGATGCTGACAAGTAATTAATTGCCTCCAGCCTACTTCCTGGGGTACTTTTCTTGGCCTGAAACTGATCCTTTATTTTGCTTTTTCCTTTTGATAGGGGGAGAAAAAAAGTTATTTGACAGTGCGACAGTTGTATTTTTCTTGGTGAGAAGGAACAGTGTGCTGTGACATTTTACAAGAAAGCATGCCTAAATAGGCTGAGCAAATAAGGAATTTGCACAATGCAATTGCAGGCAGTAATTAATTTTCACAGTGCAAAGCAGTTCTCTAGGAAAAATTCACAGAGGGCATAGTAGTGATGGGCATTTCTATGAATTGAGATTTATCACAGTGGTTTGTCGCAAACAGAATCAGATTAAGACAGATGAGTTATCAACACAGCACAAGAGTAATCTTGCACCCGTGGTATTTGCTGTTACTCGAACTTCACCTTCTTTTCTTTTCCCATGGCAAAAAGCAGAATCTAGTACGGTTCTGTCCTCCAAAGACCTAGCATGCTTAAGCACCATTTTCATGGCTCATACTGAAAACTTTGAAGAAATCAGTAGATTCTTCAGCTTCATCCTATTAAAACAGCTGTGAATTTAAAGGTAAAAGCTGGTACTTCTTTTTCTTCTGCTGTAAACAACTTTGTCACTCTAAGGGAATATTAAGCAGGAATAGCCAGCACTTGATCAGAAGGCCAGATCCTCAAAACAGTGCAAGTTTGGTGCCACTGTTAGCAGCTCAGATTCTCAAAAGAGCTCAGCAGTGTGTATGGTGTAACAATCTTCCCTGTTCCATTTTTTTTGGGTAATCTAATCTTTTCCATGTCTCTGCTACGCTGACAAATATGAAGTGAGTAGAGGGCAAGTAAAATGATCCGTGTGATATATTCTTTCTCCTGGATCAGCTAAGCCCTACCTGCCATACAGCTAAGCTGTGTTACTAGACATGCTCCTTGCTGCCCCGCAAGAAGCCCTGCCCATCCTTTCAGCGCTGCCATATCATTTCTTTTGATATGTCTAATCATCTGTTTCCTTTCTTCCTTCCCTAAAAATCACCTAACACCCCGCTCTTGCACATCAGAGCATGGAATAACAAGTCCAGCCTTCAGGCCTCAGCGTCAGATAGGCGCAGGGGGAGGAGCGGGATGGGGTTTTCCTGAGTCTCTTCTCTGCTCAGCCGCTTTCCGCTCCCCCCTCATACACCTTATCAGGCAACAGCAGCTGTGTCAGGAGCAGCCACTGACCTTGGGCAGCTACAAAGGCCGGGTCCATATGTGCAGATGTCTTCTCTTGCCCAGCTGTTCTGTGATCTCCCCAGGAAGAGATGAGCACAATCTGCCTGTGATTCACATATTCCTTCCAGCCATTTGATTTATTTCAGCACTAACATTCGTATCTGCCCAGATCCAGAGCAATTCCCCTGCCCTGGAGGACAGACAAGGTGACATCTCATGCTCCTTTTCAGGTAACCAGCTGTATCACTTTGCCCACTAAAATCGCTGCCATTTTCAAAGGCCCTCCCTTATGCATGTGATTGTTCATTCCTGCATTTGCAGTCTTCCACAGCTCACGTTCCCCTGCCAGACACTACACAGCAGGACAGCAGATATCCTCATCCCTGGTGCACCTTCACTGGTTCAGGTGGGACCTGCTCCAGGGTTCATTTCTCCTGGTGCCTTTGTTTCTGGTGCATCTTTCTCTTCTTCTCAAGCCACCTCTCCAACAGAAATAGGGAAAAGGAGTCTTTAAGATAGGGAAATGAGGGTTTTGGGGTGTTTTGACCAGAGCTGTACCCCAGTTACTCACAGAGAGGGTCAGGGAGTCAGGAGCTGGGCTCGGCTGGCCAGGCTGTTAGCAGAGTAATGGCAACATCTAGTGGTCAGACAGGTCCCTCTCATGCAGTGTTGCAGAGAGCTGGGACCTCTTTTCTCACGCATAAACTGGAATTGCCAAATGAAATGGGAATGCTTTTAAGGTGGGAGGGGAGGGAAAGCTGCACAGGAACCTCCTGGAGGGCCCCTAGGAGCCCCTGGCTAGTCAGATGCAGAAGGGAACTAGCCCTTCCTTGACACTACTATGCAGCATCTCCTTTCTACACCTCATTTTTTACAGAGAAACAGCAAAGTGGACAGTGGAACGAAAAGTCACTTTGTGTATTTCGCTGAGCACTGCCATCTAATTTTCTAACCTCCTTCTTTCACCTCCTGGGTCAACTAGGCCATGGCTATAAACACCAACTCACTCTTCATGCAAACCCCAGTTAAACCTTCCTGGGTAGCTTCTCTAATTTTCATGTGGAACACCTATAGAAATGAATCTAAATTAATAGCAAATCTGCAAGAAGAGACTAGAATACAAACTCGATGACCTCACCTCACTGATTTCCCTTGCTTTAAGCCTAAAAAAAAGATGCAAAACTTTCCATTTCATTCCAAGAGTGGACTCTTGCAGCCTTGCCAGGGTGGAGTGCACTTCTGATTGTTATCTGAGCATGAGTCAGTGGCTTTCTTGAGCAATGCAGCCTTTAAGTTTTCATTTCCAGGGTTTTTAATGTTTGGTTTAAAAATAAAAGCAAAATAAAATAAACTCTTCCAACCCTGATATTTTGGTACAATTATATTTACTCCAGCTGAATCTTAACTTCATCATAGTGCAGCTCTTCCTTTGGGATTTAGCTAATGTTTACAAAGCACTTGATTTATGATGAACTGTTGAAAATTATGTTTAGGGCTGCTATACAGCTGAGGGTCTTCCGTGCATTCATTAATGTTATTGTTGTCAGACCATTTCTTACCTCAAAGACCCTTTGACAGTTCTCTTTCCCCCATCCCCACAGTCTTGCTTCCCAGCTTTCCCCAGCACAGTTGTAGAACTTGCTTGGGAAGCAATTGTATCTCAACTGCTCAACAATATCAAGAAGACAAGCAAAGAATACGTTTACTTTCCTGCATTGGGTGCTGTTGTTTGGGTGATATCGTCCTCGTCTGTGGTGTTTGCTTCCCCTCTCAGGGTGCAGTGCTTTGTGTTGATTAATACCAAATGTTTCCTGGTTTCCTCCAGACCCTGTTGCATTCATCTCCTCAGGCTTCAGTACATGTCTTTTCCCTTCTCCTGTGGCCCTTTCTGCTGCTATGTCACCCCCAAATACTGTGGGACAATGCCAGAGAGACCTCATCCATCAGAGGTGTCTCCTCAGGACATGTGAAGAAGCAAGTTTGTGGGTAGTTGATTTAGAAAGCCTCCAGCCACCAAAAGTCTTGGCTCGGCTTCTGAGTTGTGAAGGGAAGGAAGATGGGGAGTAGGGGGAAGTACATGTCATTTCCGAAAAAAAACTCTAAGTGGAATCCCACACCTAGGAAAGTCAAGCATGTTTCAGCATGGGGGAGTGGTGACTAGAGGTGTTGGCAAGGATGTGGGGACACAAAGCAGGTTAGCGTGAGAGGTGAGTTGAAACAGGCATCTGCCACCAGGAAATCTCCTTACTAACTGTTGTTTTTCCCTCCTGTGGCAGGTGATGGACAGCTCAATGCCCCTGATTGGGGAGCACATTGAAGAGGACAGACAGCTTATAGCCGATCTGGTGGTTTCCAAAATGACTCAGCTTGTCATCACTGGTGGATCTACGCCATCACCACTGAGGCCTTGGGTATGAGCAAAGAGAGACCTTCTGGCCAAGTTGTTTTCCTGAACTTTTTTCTCTCTCTCTCACTCCTCCCTGTGGGTGTCAGGCAGCCAGACATCACAGGGAGTCAAACAGTCCCATATGAGAGTGTATTGAACAGATTGATTCCTACCCTTCCAGAGGTCTCTCATAGACTCTTTGAAGTAGGTGCCCCTAAGAAACACCTCTCTCTCCCTTTTTCTCCTTCTGTATAACTGTGGCATCACACTGGAAGTGTGGGCCATGCGTCTAGACACTCTGGCTTGCTAAATTCATGGATTTGTATTGAAGACAGCCATTTTTAGAGGTGTTTGTAACACCCGACTTCATCTCCTAACATCATCCCTCAGGATAGGTTTCATTCCAGTTTTTGCATCCCTGATGAAAATCTGTGCTTCCCAGAATGGAAAGTGGGAAATTCCACCAAAAGCTGTTCCATTCCCTACTGCAGCCTTTCTTCTTTGGAGGTGCCCTTCATCCGGAGGAGGTTTGACTAATGCTGAATTCACATAAGAACCTGTCATTATTGCATTTAAACTGACCCCTTAGTGCTGCTCGTGTACATTCATTTTGAGTATCAAATGCATCTAATCTTAGTGCCATGTTTCTCAGTGGCAGTTCTGTATAAATGAAACACACCAGAACACAATCTGTGTCTCCAGGTGTACATGCTACACCTCTTTCGGTATCTAGCAGGGAGCCAAGCACAAGGGTTTGAGGACAACAAATCCGTACAAAAGAAAAAACAGGAGAGTAAACAGGCTGAGGGATACTACTGACTGCAATGCGCTGGAACAGTTTCCACTTGAGACAAAAAATGAGAAAAAGCGCTTTATGGCTCTCTGGCTTTGTCATACGACAGCCCACTCCTGCTAAAGCAGGTGCACAGCATGAAGGGTATTCATCAAGGTAACTCCAAGTTGTAGCTAGACTGAGGGGGTAAACATTTAATAGGCACTAAAAATGCTTTGAGGCAGGGAAAGTATACAGAAGGGACAGGCTTTACTCTGACCAAAGTGTTATCAACAGCTGCCATCTGAAATAACCAAGATAGAGAGTGTATAAACTAAGAGCAAAGGGGAAGCCAACAGAAACTGAGAACATGGACAGATGCATCTGTTTTTTATGTCTGTAACACAGTTGTATAGGATTGGACTGGATTACAACAGACCTAAAATAGGGCCAAAATAAAAACAAAACAAATGGTCTTGGAGGGAATTGATATCAAATTGAAGACTTAAATAGGAAAAGGTTCTTCATCAAGAATACAACCTACAAATAACTATATATGAAAATCAAGAAAATTAAAACTACAAACATGGTAACTACAGTATTTTGCTACAGAGAAAGATCTTGGTACAGAAACTGTATAAGCTAAATTTACTAATATAATGCTATAACACATAGTTACAAATGTGCAGAGAGAAGTAATTACATTCAAGGCTACTGAGACGCAGAACTAGAGCTACAGGTGAAGACTTCCACAGAATGAAGAAAAATAACAATTTTGAATACAAGGACAGCAGTACTGAATACACAGAAATATGAACCCTTGGATATCCTATGGGTGTGCATAGAATATCTATACATATTATTGGAACTGTATACACTAGTCTCTGGACCAAGAAAAACTGAGAAATTATGAAATTGAGTGCACTGCATAGACAGAGATGGAAGAAGCAACAAGTCATAATACTGTGAGACTGCAGCTATCAAGAAACAAGTCAAATAGCACAGTGGGACAGTAATTCAGAGAGAGTTCCCCATCTCTGTAGGTGTCTGCTTCCTGGAACCACAAAATCCAAGTGGAATAGGAAAATTAAGAGCCTTAAGAAACACCCAGGTACAAATTTGGAAAGTGAATATGTAACGTTGAGTTTGATGTCCAAGGCACAGAAGTGATATCAAAAAGTAACAGTATGACACAAGCAATTAAAAAAGATGATTTTAATAAAATGAGAAAATCAATTGACTCCCTTCATTAAATGTAAAATTTTATGGTTGTTATTTGAGAGACCATTGTTTTCCAGAAGGCATATATACATTTCTCATCTGCTCATGAACAGGAATGCAAGAAATAACTTCTAGACTTAAGTGTCAAAGTGATAGAGGTCCTTCAAGACAAAAAAGGGAAAAAAAAAATCTTCCAAATTTGGGAATCTGACATTTAATAACATCTTTATGCACAATCATGCAAGTAATAAAAGAAAATATAAAAAGGATAGAAATTGGTTTTGAAGAGCAGATAGAATGAGAAATGAAATGAATTCTTTGACTTCATCAGAATATAGAACCCTACCAAAGAAGTGGTGAGCTCTATGAATCATCCAAAGTTAAGGGAGAAAATGAAGACAACAGGGACAGTGTTGTGACTCTAGTAAATTTAATTGCTGAAAGTGGGGAACTTCTTAAGCAAGATACAGTTTTTCCTGATCAGAAAGACATGGAAGAGAACAAAAGCAGTGACTGAATACTTTTAAAAATTATTAAGCCCCCAGACCCAGATGGCTACATTCAATGAACTGAATTTAGGAAGTGACTAAGCTGGCAACAAAAAATAAGGAATTTCATTAGAAACAGTTATTGCTCTAGAGGATTGGTGTAAAACAAATACAAAATAAGTGTTTAGAAAGTTGTAAGAATAACGTAGAAAAATGTAGACAAGTCATGGACGTTAGAAATTATCTCAGAATATTTTAAATAATTATACAGAAGACTAATAAACCAACAGAAACACAGATGCTTAAGAGCATCTACCACATTTTTTTTTGAAGAAAATTATTTCCTTTTGATCCTCTTCCCCTCATTTCTTTGAGAATTCTTTCATAGAGTGGTAGATAACAGGCAATCAGTCAAAATAATGTAGCTAGATTGTCAAAAAGCCTTAGACAAGATAACAGATAAGAGCTATTGAAGAAAGCAAGCAGGGAGGGGCTAAAAGGCAAAGTTTCATTTCAGAAACTGTCCTCAGATAATTACATAGATATGAGAGATGTTAACTCTTGCAAAGTTAGCAGAGGGGATAGTTAAAGGATGCTAAGCCTGGTCATGTTGATAATCGGGTTGGTTGAGCCCAGGACAGGATAAGATGCTAATATCAACCTGGTTTGATGGATACAGCTGCGGTTCTCTCCTCACCTCTCTGCCGCACCTCCATCCTATCCCCTGGCTGTTTCCCTTCCAAATGCAGAAGATCTTGGGGTGGCCCTCACCCCTTCATGTTTGAGCCTCAAAATCCTGTTCTGCCTTTGTCTCTGAGAAGTCTTGGGTTGGCTTTAGGCAAAGACTATAGATGTGAATATGAGATCCGATTCCCTGTCTTTGGCTGGTCCAATCAGGATGTCTCACAGCATTAGGATGGTAAATTTCCACCAACACCAAGGCAAGGTTTAGTTTCCCAAGATATGTAGGACTAGAAGCTATGAATGGAAAATTCCCAGATTTTCCTCCCCGTCCATTTGCACATCTCAGACAAATAGTGTAAAACATGGGCTGGCAACCTCATCACATTTATGTTAGTCAGTTGAAAACCATTTCAGTGCTTCCAACTATGGAACATTTCCTCCCATTTCCAGAATCACTTAGCTCATTCTCCTGACCTTCCAGGAGCCATGAAGACCCTTTTATCATTGTGTTCTTCATGTAAATAATCTGGCACATACCAGCCCATCTGTCTCCAGCTTCCTCTGCTTTCATAAACAATTTTGTGCAATAGGCTTACTCAGACTTTTGTTAACTTTGGACCAGCCCTTTGTGCAACAGTTCTGTGTTGCTAAATCTGTTTATTAAAATATCTGTCAAAAAGAGTAAACAGTGAGAGAGAAGAAAGTGCAGATGGCACCAACTTATTTGCGTTAGTCAGGACCAGGGATGGCAGTGAAGAACATCTGACAGAGCTATGTATGTTAAGTCACTACAACAGCAAATGAAACTCCATATGGAAGACTGAAAGGTAAGCTAAACTGGGGGAAGAGAGAGGGAGAACATAAACAATCTGTAGACCTTGCAAGTGGCACTAGCCATTCCCCTTGAGAAAGAGTTTGTCACATATGGGCTAATGAAAACCATTGCTCAGCCTATGGTTGTGCTGACAAGGGAGAAGCAGGAAATTAGGATGCAGGAGAAATGAGCTGGTGATGTATACAGAGGACCCAGATACTGCTTCATCTGGAATAATGTAAGCAGACCTGCCTCTGGCATCTGCAGAAGGAATCACAAAGCTGGGAAAGAGAAGTGGGTGATGAAAACAATTAGGGGCCTGGAAACATTCCCATGGAAGGACCGAAGGGACTCAGTCTCTTGGTTTTAGAAAGGAGATGAATGAGAGAGAGGGGAGTAAAGGTTTGCAAAATAATGAATGGCCTAGCAAGGGCAGGGTGTGAGAACTTTCTCAAAACTCAGAACAAAGCAAGGGAGTTAAGAAATGGGAAAAGCAGTGAGGCTGAGAGCTGAGCAAGACTCAAAGGCTCTGGATGTAAATATCAAAACAAAATATCTGGAACTGTTGCAAAGATTTTGTGGAGCAGATAATAAGCTTCATGTTTCAGGGTTAAAGCTGGCCCTTGCTTATTAGCAATCAAGAAGAGACCCCTTAGGGTAAAAAGATGATTACTCCATAGATGTTTCCATGGTTCATCCCTCCTTCCTTTGAAACATCTGGTGCTGGCAACTGTCCAAAATGGGAGATGGGACTAAGAGACCCCCTCAGGCCTGACACATTTGGTAATTCCTGATTGCCTAAAAAACATTCTAAACTGTAACTTAATTGTTATTCCCTGAGAGCAAACAATTTCTTTATTACTCAGCTCTCCATTTTAGTCCCATGAGCTTTTACCAGCCAGATGCTCTGTGTGTGTGTGTATTTAAGGAACACTTCATGACTCTGCAGTTCCTGTATTACCTCAGGGCTTCTCCTTGGGGACTCTGTATTAACTGGAATGTTGTTTTTTTTTCCTCTAGCCTCCACAAGTTCAACCTGCATCAATGAAATCTCAGACCGGACCTCAGCTTGGACAACTGTCCCAACCACGGCCTCCTCCCCAAGGTACAGTTCTTTTTGTCCCATGACAGCATGTACTGTGAGACCTAACAGTTTGCCTTATAAATAAAAGCTATCAGGATAAAGGCTTCACTCATTGTTCCAATTCACTGACAAACAGGCAGAAAATCCAGTGTGCTATTAAAGCAGCCGCTGTCATAGTCCACAGCAGGTGACATAGGGGGATGAAAATTTGATACAGATCCAGTTGATACTGCTGGTAGGACTTGACTCAGCAAAACAAGGCCACTTGAACTGGCACTGGAGTAGGATTCTGGGAACAAACGTATTTGTATTTGCACAAAGCTGCAGTGGCTACAAGTGTTAAGAAGTGATGAAAAGATTCTAGTGCTGTCAGGCCTGGAACAGACACCAATGTGGTGTTGCCAGGACCCGTGATCCATCTGTCCAGGTGTTCCCCTGTGAGCAAAAGTACACCCTCCAACTCCTCCTGACAGTAGAAGCGGGTTTGACTCATGTAGGTCGGTCAGAACAATAGGTTTGGTTTATTGTCCTGATTTACACTGAGGTAATGAAGTGCAGGGCTGCCCCGTGGGTACACAGACTACACCAACTGCTCAATCCACATAAGCAATTAGACCCTCCTTTTTGCCACCTTTGTCCCTTCCTGTCTCCACTCCAACCTCCTACCAAATTAACACCCACTTCTAATTATCATTTCCTCATCAGTCACAGTTTTGCTGTATGCAAAACTTAGTATTCCTGATACCAAATGCATCTACGTAATGTTGGCGTTACACGCTGTTACTGGTATGAGTTGTTGGCCTTGCAGGAGACTACTCCCCTTTTGTTTCCAGTACTCCCCTCCAATTCTTTGTGAAGATTTTTCTCATGTAACTCCCCCTTGACCACCTGTGAAATCCAGCCAGCCCTCACGACGCTATCTCTGACTTTTGTCAGCTTCTCACACTGTTACCTGTCATGTCCAGCGATTTCTCACATCACATCCAGTTGCTTTCCACATCCTCTTCAGTTTTGGGAGTCTGCTACCAATACATCTGGAGCCACCTGCTGATAATGCTGGAACAGATGGATGGGCAGTGACAGAGTGCAGAGTCTCACATCAAACTGCTGGGCCCATGAAGGGGCTGCTGACCCAAACCAGCAGATACAGCTTTCATTTCCTGCGGAGTTGGTTCTCCAGTGACTCTTCCTTCCCAAAGCAGGAAGTGCTTGCCAAGGACAAGAAATACTAGTTACATGGAAGAGTACAGCACATTGAAGTGACCCCCTTTGGGGAGAGCTGCTTTAGTGCTGCAGGAGGTAAAGAAATGGACAACTCTAGCGACAAGGGCATGACACCAGTTTTAGGCCTATAAGAGAGGTTTTCCCTTATCCTTCTGCATGAAGCTACTCTGAAGAGTCTGGCCCCTTAGCAAAACCCATTCTTCTATACAGATGCTCCTTGCTTGTTGTCCACCACATGCACTTCCTCATGCTTTTGTCTACATGTCCCTTTCAGGTGGACCACGTCAGCCTCAGGGATCTCAGCCTGCAAGGACAAACGCACCTCCACAGCAGCGGCTCTCTCCTCAAGGACAGCAGCCCCAGAGTCCCCAGTCCACTTCACCCCAGCAGCAAAGGTCACCTGGATCTCCACAGCAAGTCCGATCAGCAACTGGGTCCTCTCCAGTCCAGGCTTCCAAGGCAGGCGTGTTCCCTCCACAGCAGCCTAGACCTCCCGCTCAAGGCCGGGCTCCTAGCCAGCCAAGCCCCACCGAAACGTCCAAACAGCAAGCCACCCCACACCCACATCTGAAGTAGGTGCTCTGTTAAACTGCCAATACCTGTAGATAGCAGAATAAAGCTGTCAAAAAATTACCCTGAGCTGCCCTGAAGAATGTATCAACTGTGTTCAGGCAGTAGTCCCTAGGCCTAGACAAACAAAGGCCTGGGCAACTGTGAATGATTGCAGAGGTATACATGCCTGGGCTTAACAGGCCACCATTGACCTGTTGTCAGGATAGAACAAATTGTATTTGATGTGTGTAAGATTTCACAGTCTTCCTCTTGTTCGTGTGCTCATTTTTAGTTGTGTGCTATGCTCCAGCTATATCAACACAGCTACTACCTTCCCAGCAGGGTGTATATATACTCCTTACAGGCTGCAATCAGCACATTATTGGCCAGAAAGCTCAACAAGAGTCATTCCTTCACTATTCCCTGAATGCAGGAGCCACGCAAGGTTCTTTACTGGGCATATTTTTTTGCAATTGGTAGCAAAAAGGACGGGGGTGGGGATAAGTGGAAGTGGCACTAATCATATATATAAACAAATGCTGACTGTATGTTTAAGCACTCTCCTGGAGCCCAGCACACCACTGAGTTATTGTGGATCTTTGCTACGAGCCTTTGCTGCCACCCTTCATGGAGCATGTCTGGCTGGCACCATGGCAGCAAAGATTGGCAAAAAAATGTTTGGCATTGACAAGAAGTTGACAAGAGCAAATTTCTATGAACAAAATATAGGCTAGGAATGAGAAGAGTTTCTAGGCAGCAGAGGAGCGATGTTCAGGAACAGGCTTTCAGTGGTGATACCTACATTAGCAAAGCAAACCAAGAGCAGTGTACTTAAGGATCAAAATGTTGGTGCTAAGAATGCAGCCACCACACTACACATTTCAGGTACTTTAATCCAGAGTCCAGTCTTGTGCTGATTGCATATTACTGGCTAGGAGAAACCACCCTGCTGAGTCCAAACTCTGTTTTCCATTTCAGCAAATCGCAGTCCCTGACAAACACCTTCAGCATAACTGAGTCATCTCAGCGGGGAAATGCCAATGAAGACGAAGCAAAAGCTGAGACCATCCGCAACCTGAGGAAATCATTTGCAAGCCTGTTTTCCGATTAACAGCCCTGCAGCTGGGTCTCTGCTTTTGTCAGCCCTCATTCTTCATATCAGCGTATCTGATGTCATCCTGGAACACACTCAATGGTACCCAGCGATTTACAACTAGCTGGGTAAATGGAATTTAAAAAACTATAGTTGTTTTAATACAGAGGAAATATTCTAATAACGGTCTGAAAAGTGACTGTATAAAAGTGGCACAATTTCATTGTTTTTTTGTGCATAACCAGAATCACATCTGTTCAAATGACTGAGTCGTAAAGCAAATTTTACTCTTGCTAACCCCTGTGGAGTCAACACAATTATGACAGTGCAAACTAGATTTTATTTTCATTTGTATATAGTCAATACAATTGCTAACTTCCAATTCCTTATTGAGGTCAAGCCAAAAAAAAAAAATAATACAGGCTTATGTCAGAAACAAATGTGCAAAAACAGAGTCAAGACTATGTATTCATTGACTGATAAAGTGAGCATGCTCAAGCATGGAAACAAAGCGAACTGTGGAACTTCATGATACCAACTTTATAAGAAGTCACTTTTCAGAGCAAAACTACATTCAAGTTAAATACCATACAGGGCATCAGTAAGCGCCAAAGATCACATGAGCAGGTCATCCAGATGGACTGATAGTTTGTTCCAGATCACTCAGCTCATAGCAGATAAAATGTCTCTGTTTCATGCCTTGCATTTACGTCCCCTGCACGTGATTCCTGAGTTCTGAGAGAAAAATGTCATGTTCTAACCCTGTAGCCTTAGCTCAAAAATAACCTGAGAAATGGGCCTTCCACACAAAAAACAACTTCTTCCCCTGCCCTTGGAAACACCAGAGTTCACATTCACAGTTCACACAAATTCCAGACAAAACCCAGCTAAACTCCAAGCACTTTGGTGACTTGGTCACATCTGGCTAAGTATGTCCCCCAGGAACATGCTTAATTACTAGCAGAGCTGATGAAGTGCACATACTTGTGTGCTGAGTGTTCCATAATACCAAATGGACAGAGAGATGGAGTGAAATCCTGTCTCCCTCCTTGAACTCCCATTGACTTCACTGGGGTGAGTGCAACATGAATGCAAGGTGACAAACCTGCAATAGAAAAGGAAAACTATCCTTTACAAATAAGATGAGCTGGGGTCCATACAGAGACACTAAACCCTGGGAAGCCACATATGGGATTGTCCCAAGCAGGTAAATGATCACTATTAGTTCTTGCTGACGCCCCCTAAGAATTATTCTTCCCAAGAAGACAGAGGTGGATCTTTGCCAGGTGTGCTTTTCCTCTAAGCCTGCAACAGAGAATGAAGCTGCGAATGGACACATACACTAGAACTGGGACACAGCAAAAACCAGGAACGACACAAGTTGCATTCACGATTGAAAAAAATCATCCTGAGTAAATCAATGTATCTATGGCTATTTCTACCAGCTGAGAACCTACCCCTTACACTGTGCTAGCTCTATTTATAAAACACCTGATGCAGGTGCCAGTCCCCATCCCACCTCCTTGTCTTTTCCTCAAGTTTTGTCAAGTACTTTAATCACAAACCGTGCATACAGCTCCAAGGCCAGATTTTTGGCCCTGTGCTTCCCTTAGCAACTTCACCTTAGTGACACTTAGGAATGCCCAGAGTGGTCAGCAAGTTACAAACATTTGAGCCAACAGCACAGATCTTTGCTGTCACTTAAAAACAGAGATCACCAGAGCAGCAAAAACAGCAGCAGCACTTGCCATCTTGGATCTTATAATTCACTGGTGGGAATAAAGCCAAACAAACAATTCCTTCCTGCACAGCACCTGTAACGAACATCCAAATTCAATGCAGTCATCTGGACCTTGTATGACCTACCCCTGTGCAGGCCTTTACACATATAATGGCTTTTGTGACCCATGCACTTTCAGGCAAGTAACAGCATAGCTTTTCCAGGCTGAAAGGCTCTCGAGAGACTCCTCTGGATCAATGATTTATACCTGAAGTTCAGTATTACAGAACCACCCTATTCCCTCATGATTTATCTTTTTTTTTTTCCCTTCCAGTTCTGTGTTGTCCTTCCAGGTTTGCTAAGCAGTTTACAACGTAGCATCATAAATACATGTCATTATTTGAGAAAAAAAACAGACCCTGATGTTTTGCAGTCTCCAGGAGCAATAAAAGAGTGACAAATGGCCTTGAGCAAGCACTGTCCCACTGGCAAGAACAATAGCAGATTAACAGGCTTCACTATATGGAGAGGAGGTAATACAACCCTGGTGGGAGAGGATTTCCTTCTATAACACTTCCCTCAGCATGGTTTATGACTTTCCCTATTAAATGGTCATCAGAGATGCAAAGGCAGAAATAAAAGTTTACTGCCAGAATCCTCAACTGCTTTATCCCCCAAATCTTTTTATTTCTCTCTTAACAAAAGAACCTACGCAAGAAACAAGTGACTAGTATGGTATGGCCCCATAAATTGACCCCAATTCATCACTGAAACCACAACGGTTGGATCCTTTGCTGATGCTGCATTTGAACACAGCAGGGCTGTCCTCCAGGGGACCACAGTAGCAGGACAGCACTGTTGACTCGATACCCAGCAGTGACTCAGATCTCCTCATTTGCCTACATCTGTCGTCTTTCAAAGGACAAGCAAACAGAATGGCATCTCCCCCTCTCCTAGGTCCAGCTTGCAAAAAGAAGTAAAAGCAACAGGCACTCTCAATTTAACTTGGTTATTCCTATAGTTCCTGAAAAGCATTTTCAGTTCTATCCACAGGAATGCTTCAGTGAAAACAGAGTTCTTCTGCAAGTTAAAATGATGAAACTCTATACTGTGTCCTAGAAATGTTCCAACAGCACACTTCAATCTACAACTACGATGCTCACATATAAGATGCTTTGGCTAACAGGAGATTCACAAATGCATCATCATATATTCCAGTTATCACCTTCGATGCAGGGTTTCTATTCCAAAATCCCTACATTCTAACAAAGCAGGAGACAGTGGGAATACAAGGGGTATATTATCCACTTATATGAATGGGGAACTAAGGGATACCCAAGAGGTATTTAGGCACCTAAATACAAGAGCTGCAGTTAGGGGCAGTAAGAAGGCAACAGAAGAATTGGTGAATAAAAGTTACATTTAAATCAGAGGGCAGGCGTGCCCCACAGCATGCCTTAGGATCCTTCTCACACAGCTGTGAAAACTGAGCACCTGGACAGAGCTTCCCTTTTGTCCAGCATGCTTTAGTCTTCTCCACATGGAAGCCAGGAAACAAAAACAGATTTCTGTGTTTGGACTCAGGCCAAGGAGTTGGAACACAATTAGGACACCCACTCATATCCACCACCTGGAAAATTAGTTCACATTTTGCTGTTTAGATACAGACTGAGAAACACCTTGACTTTCTTGTAATATCTAGGTGTGGTATTTCCAGAGGAATGTCACTTTTGTTACCATGCAACTAAAAGTCTTGTATAAAGCTAAGGTTCAGAAGAATAGCAGTCTTGCTCATAACTGCAGTGGTATCTTCCTCTTTTTCACGAGTCATAGACAGGTACATCTGACCCAGTTACTTCATCTGGCTGGCTGGTTTTATGAATAAGATAATATAATAAATAGAAAAGCCAAGAATGAAAGTTCCTTATTTCCAAAAGACTGTTAGTAGCAACCTTAACAGTGCTGGATACAGATGAACAGTACAGTTAAAAAAATGCCCATCTTCAGGCATTTCATCTTTTGATTTTTCTTCTGTAGAGTTCACAAACAGCAATGACACACCTAACTGAGGAGCTGGCAAATAAACAAAATAAGCTGCTAATTTTCAAATATTTCCTCTGTTTTGTCTTTTAATTTTATACTGGCCCTGAGATTGACTTTATATTTCATATCCTCTTTTATAAATAAAGGGAACGCCTCTTTAGTGAATTTGACAGTTCAGAGTAAGTCAAGTTCCTTTATCTTGGGCTCACAATACCTTTAATACAACATGAAAGAACAATGCAGAAAAGGAAGGAATATCTTCAGGTCACTTAGCAGCTTATCTGTAAAAAGGCAGAGTTCATTTCTTCAAAAACAAACATTCAAATGACTAAATCCAGGATAACCAGACCTCATGGCATCAACCTGGCAGAAGTATGACAAGGTTGTCTTCATGGCAGAGAGTGCCCAACTCCAGAGAAGCATGGGATGTGCCAGCAGAGCAAGCAGCATGACTGTCATCAAAGCACTAGTAATGTGAGTACCATTGGTATCACAAAATTAATGATTCTGACCCACAGAGAGATCACTGTTTCCAGAAACAGCTTGAAAAAAGAAGTGAAAAATTAGGATTTTTTTAATCAGTTAGAGCTGCATAACCTTATCTGAATGTTATGGATGCAAAAGACTGTTAGTAGCAACCTTAACAGTGCTGGATACAGATGAACAGTACAGTTAAAAAAATGCCCATCTTCAGGCATTTCATCTTTTGATTTTTCTTCTGTAGAGTTCACAAACAGCAATGACACACCTAACTGAGGAGCTGGCAAATAAACAAAATATGCTGCTAGTTTTCAAATATTTCCTCTGTTTTGTCTTCTAATTTTATACTGGCCCTGAGATTGACTTTATATTTCATATCCTCTTTTATAAATAAAGGGAACGCCTCTTTAGTGAATTTGACAGTTCAAAGTCAAGTTCCATTATCTTGGGCTCACAATACCTTTACTACAACATGAAGGAACAATGAAGAAAGGGAAGGAATATCTTCAGGCCACTTAGCAGCGGGAACGCCTCTTTAGTGAATTTGACAGTTCAGAGTAAGTCAAGTTCCTTTATCTTGGGCTCACAATACCTTTAATACAACATGAAAGAACAATGCAGAAAAGGAAGGAATATCTTCAGGTCACTTAGCAGCTTATCTGTAAAAAGGCAGAGTTCATTTCTTCAAAAACAAACATTCAAATGACTAAATCCAGGATAACCAGACCTCATGGCATCAACCTGGCAGAAGTATGACAAGGTTGTCTTCATGGCAGAGAGTGCCCAACTCCAGAGAAGCATGGGATGTGCCAGCAGAGCAAGCAGCATGACTGTCATCAAAGCACTAGTAATGTGAGTACCATTGGTATCACAAAATTAATGATTCTGACCCACAGAGAGATCACTGTTTCCAGAAACAGCTTGAAAAAAGAAGTGAAAAATTAGGATTTTTTTAATCAGTTAGAGCTGCATAACCTTATCTGAATGTTATGGATGCATTTCTGAAGCACTCATCACAAGGACAAAATAGTGCAAACCCAATGCAGCGTAGATTTCTCTTCTCCTTTTTATAGTCAGTGGAATAAAAAGAATCAGTGTAAGCTCTAAGAGGCCTAACTATATACTTCAGTGAAGTGAAAATTCTGTTGGAACAAGGCAATTCAACCACTGCAGGCAAATGTTAAAAATTAAGTCTAATCTTGGTGTTGATGGGAAACCACTGTCCACAGACTGTATAAATACCTACTCTTATGTCAGGATTTGCACTGGTATGCCAGTGCTGTGAAGTAGAGAAGAAAAGAAAAAAGCAATACAACTTTTGACAGCAAAATAAAGTATATTTTACTTCCACTGGAGTTAATGGCAAAACTTCCTGACCCTACTATGAAGGAACAATGAAGAAAGGGAAGGAATATCTTCAGGCCACTTAGCAGCGTATCTGTAAAAAGGCAGAGTTCATTTCTTCAAAAACAAACATTCAAATGACTAAATCCAGGATAACCAGACCTCATGGCATCAACCTGGCAGAAGTATGACAAGGTTGTCTTCATGGCAGAGAGGGCCCAACTCCAGAGAAGCATGGGATGTGCCAGCAGAGCAAGCAACACGACTGTCATCAAAGCACTAGTAATGTGAGTACCATTGGTGTCACAAAATTAATGATTCTGACACACAGAGAGATCATTGTTCCCAGAAACAGCTTGAAAAAAAGTGAAAAGTTAGGATTTTTTAAATCAGTTAGAGCTGTATAATCTTATCTGAATGTTATGGGTGCGTTTCTGAAGCACTCATCACAAGGACAAAATAGTGCAAACCCAATGCAGCGTAGATTTCTCTTCTCCTTTTTATAGTCAGTGGAATAAAAAGAATCAGTGTAAGCTCTAAGAGGCCTAACTATATACTTCAGTGAAGTGAAAATTCTGTTGGAACAAGGCAATTCAACCACTGCAGGCAAATGTTAAAAATTAAGTCTAATCTTGGTGTTGATGGGAAACCGCCATCCACAGACTGTATAAATACCTACTCTTGGGTGTTTAATTATGTCAGGATTTGCACTGGTATGCCAGTGCTGTGAAGTAGAGAAGAGAAGAAAAAAGCAATACAACTTTTGACAGCAAAATAAAGTATATTTTACTTCCACTGGAGTTAATGGCAAAACTTCCTGACCCTACTGAAGCCAGCTGATTTTATACAAAACAAGATGAATCACCGAAATATCACCTAGAAAAGCACATAAGTATTACTGATTAAATAGCTTGTATTTTAACAGGAAATGTCATTTAATTTCCACTGCTGGAATTTCAAAAATATTTTAGAAAATAATATCAGCTGTCACAACAGTCATCAGTACCATTTACATGTATAGAAACACTGAGATCAATCCATCTTAAAAACAAATATGTAAGAAATGAAAAGTTCTAGCAACGTTTAGTCATCCAAGTCTTCCTTTAATTGAGCTCCAGCATCAGCCTGCAGATCTCATCAGGAAACTTTAACAGTGGTCTTGTTAGTTGCTCATTAGTTAATAAGACAACACTTGAAAGGTGCTCATAACATGCTACAACACATTTCCTCTTGGCAAGATACATTTTGATACTTGAGTACAGAATTAAATGGAATTTACTGCAGTAAACTAAGACTTCATTCTGCGTCTCCTGCTGTCATCCCACTTTTCACTGCAACCAGGTCAACCTATTTAATTCCTTAAGTTAGGCAAGAGGAAAGATTTATTTTGCACCAGTTTTAGTTCACACACAGTAAATGCAGCCATGTACTACAGCTCCTTATTTGTCAAGTCAAAGAGAAAGACAAACGTTTTGCTGCTGGTTCTTTGTAAAATTGCTCTGCTTCTGTTCAGACTTCTGAGTTGTTCTCTAGCATGACTTTATTCAGTTGTTTGTAAAACAAATTCATTTGTGTTCTAATATTACCATTGTAAAGAAAATCCCTTCCCTGTATTCTTTGTGTATTAAGTAACAATACAAAAATGCTTTTTACCTAATAAAACATTAAAGGAAAAAGGAAAACAGCATCTTTGAAAATTTCTACAAACTCACATCTACCATAACAGCGGTAGTATCCTGTTCTATGTGAAACATGTCAGATTTTTCTGTTAATAAAGATTATTAGCCA